GTCTCAATTTCATCTTGTTGCTCTGCTACAGTTGTGTTTGAAAATAATACACTGTGCTTCTTCACAAGATATTGGCCAAGATAGCTAAACCATAATAAAGATTATCTGGCCTAACCTTGAGTCATCTGTCTTCTGCCTGACACAAGTGACCCAGCTCATTCATCGTCTCATATTTTAGAGGCGCTAGTTAGCTCCATTTCTGTCTGCTCAGGCATAAATGATACACGGCATTCCGTCTTTACGGTCACATGAAAACATACTGGGAAGGGTTATAGTAAAGAAATTTTAGGCAACCACATCACCACATTCAGTCTTTCCCTCCCCACAAAACAATCTTGCTTCTTGGAGACAGCAAGAAATAAACTTATTTTCTAAGTAGAAATCCAAGACATATATTTCATTTAAGGGAAAATTCACAAAGCCAAGTTGCTGCCTTCAATAGAGGGCAATTTTTCATCAGCTAGGTCTGTCAGATCCATTTTATTTCACAAATTGGACAGCTGAATCTTTGTGTTCTCTATCAGCCATAAGAAAATGGTATTCTTTTGGCTGGTGATATTGGGCTTTATTTTTGGACATTCTTTTTATCAAAGATGAGGAAAAACACCTTGACAGTAGTCAACATTTTCAAAAGCACATGATATTTATAAAGGATAAGGCCAGCACAAAACTTAAAACATTTGGTAGATATTATTTCATGAACCTTAAACTACCTTTTAAATAAATCAGAGATGCAAAACATAAATATTTGTTGAGGGCTTGCCATATGCCAAAAGCTGAAGTTGGGTAATTTCTATCAATCATCTTCTTCAGTCCATACTAAATCCTCTATGCTGGTGGGTTTGTACCATTTCAAAGATGAGAAAACTGAGCTAAAAAGAGATTGGTAATTGTCCCAAGGTGACACAGAGGGTAAATGAAAGGAAACCAGGATGCAAATCCTACCCTCTAGGCTTAAAAACCTCATACTCTGAATGGCTTACAATGAAGAACCCAAGTCCCGTGATCACTTTATACATTTGCCAATTACAGTACTTGTCACAGGAGGACTTTGAATTGACTTTTCCAGAACTTAGAAATATATAAGAAGCCTGCTACTTGTTTTACAAGGCAAACACAATCTTTGTAACTGAATTAGACAAAACTACCATATAAAAAGCATAGAAACATATGAATCATAAGCACAGACACAAATACAGGAAACAAAGTACTAACTGACTGAATTCTAGCCATGCCTTAAAAATGAAACATTCATAGGTAAGATTTGTTTCAAAATAAGTTGCTTAAAAAGAAAAATTGTCAGTCTTCATCCATAAATATCAGAGAGTAAATATCGCAGGCTGTGCTGGCTATACGGTTTCTCTGACAACTACACAACTTTACCTCTGCTGCACAAAGGCAGCCACTGACTATGTGTACCTGGGTAAAGATGGCTGTGTTCCAGTAAAACCATGTTCACAAGAACAGGAAAGTGGGCTACATAGGGCTCATTAGCCACAGTTTGCTGAGACTCTACTTTACATCACACACACACACACACACACACACACACACACACACACACACACACACACACGAGGCAGGGGTACAGGTGGGGGGTAGCGGGTATGAAGATAGCAGGGGAGGGGGAGAGGAGATGGAAAAGAGTTATTTCAAACATCAAGAAAATATAAAAGCCTAGAAATAAACCTTCCAAAGGGTAATTTGAGTATATGAGTCAAAACTTAATTATAAATACTTTCCATCCAACAATTTCATTTCTGGAGATTTATTCCCAGGATACAGTTAGATAAGAACACAGAGATGTGTACACAAGGCTATCTACTACTATGTTATCTATTTATGTTATCCATGTCTTATTTATCAACAAGTTCCAATCACATGCATGGTATCAGCTAATTTTTAAAAGATACCAGTATGCCTAAGAAGTTTTGCATATAGACTCATATAAGGAACAAAACTTGCAATATATATATATATATATATATATATATATATATATATATATATGTGTGTGTGTGTGTGTGTGTGTGTGTGTGTGTGTGTATACATATATATAATTTTTTATTAGCAATTGTGTCTAAAGGTAGACTTAATGGAAAACTTTCTACTTTCTTTAATTCAGCTAAATGAAAACACAGGTTTTGGAGGTGAGGAGATGGCTCAGAGATTAAAGCACTTGGCAAGCAAGTATAAGGACAGGAGTTCAGATGCCCAGATTTCACAAAAACACTCAGTGAGTCCGACAGTTCTCCTATAATCCCAGCCATCAGAGGGTGGAGAGAGAGGATCCCCACCGTATCAAACTAGTTAGCCAGGCCAGCCAGACTAGCCATATTGGCAAGCTCTGGCTTCAATGAATAAGGTGGAGAATGATCAAGTTAGACTCACATTGTCAACCTTGGACCTACACACACACACACACACACACACACACACTTGCACCACTACACATGCAAATACATAAGCACACACACTACATATAAACATGAGGAAAAAAATTAAGATTTTCATTTATTTAAGAGAAATGAGCAGAGTAGCTATGCTTTGTTCAACAATTTGCTCTCAATTCTATCAATTCGGAAGCAGCTCATACACCAGTGGTTCTCAACTTGTAGGTAGAGACAGACCGCTTGGGCAAATCTCTAGCTCCAAAAATATTTACATTACAATTCATAGCAGTAGCAAAATTACAGTTATGAAGTAGCAACAAAAATAATTTTATGGTTGGACATCACCACAACATGAGGAACTGTATTAAAGGGTCACAGAGTTAGAAAGGTGAGAACCACTGATATAGACGGTGTCCTCCTCAAACAAATCACACCAATGCTGATTATAATTTTTATATTAAGACATTTTTTTTTCTTTTTTTTTTTTTTTGGTTTTTCGAGACAGGGTTTCTCTGTGTAGCTTTGCGCCTCTCCTGGAACTCACTTGGTAGCCCAGGCTGGCCTCGAACTCACAGAGATCCGCCTGGCTCTGCCTCCCGAGTGCTGGGATTAAAGGCGTGCACCACCACCGCCCGGCCATTTCTTTTTTTTTTAAGATTTATTTATTTATCATATATACAGTGTTCTACCTGCATGTATGCCTTCAGGCAGAAGAGGGCACCAGATCCCACTATAGATGGTTGTGAGCCACCATGTGGTTGCTGGGAATTGAACTCAGGACCTCTGGAAGAGCAACCAGTGCTCTTAACCTCTGAGCCTCTCTCCAGTCCCTATTAAGACATTTCTAACACAAAAGGAATATCTATCCAGAATTGTCAATGTTTTCTTATTCAATGGTAGTCCTGCATGCATGAGTATGTGCATATGTGTGTGCATTCATTTGTCTTCCAAGAAAGAAAAGAGAAGGGAAATAAGAAATAGCCAATGATGGCAGATGAAGAACCAACATAAATTAATATCTCAGAGAGAGGGGCTGAAGAGATGACTAGTGATTAAGAGCACTTGCTACTCTTTTTTTTTTTTTTTTTTTTTTGGTTTTTTGACACAGGGTTTCTCTGTGTAGCTTTGCGCTTTTCCTGGAACTCACTCTGTAGCCCATGTGGGCCTCAAACTCACAGAGATCCACCTGCCTCAGCCTCCCAAGTGCTGGGATTAAAGGCGTGCACCACCACCGCCAGGCTGCACTTGCTAGTCTTGCAGAGGACCAGGGGTCGATTCACCGCACCCACAAAGTGGCTCACCAGCATCCTTAATGGGAGTTCTAGGAAATCAAATGCCCTCTTCTGACTTCTGCAGACACCAGGAAAGCATGTGGTGCACATACATGCGCTCAGGCAAAACACTCATATACATAAAATAAAAAAAAAGAAATTTTCAACTACCTTACAGAGAAATAAGTATTAGTCTATGAATTCACTGCTCAAGGTTTATTTATGGTTCCACAGCACAGGAATCTCATCTGTCACGTTAGAGAAAACCCCTGATGTTCTTCAAAACTCTCATTCATAATTTATCAAGACTAAATTTAAGCCTCTCAGTTTAAAAAAAAAATGTAAGCTTATGTGATTTACGTCTATTTGTGAAAATATAATTTCCTCATAATTAAAATAGGTTTCTAATTATTTTGCCAATGGTTTCACATTATATAAAATATACAAAATGGTGCATATTTAATACCCATGCACTTAAAATCTTGGAAAAATAGAGATGGGAAAGAAATATAATTGTTCTTAGGTCCTCAAAATTCTTTGTGTTACTGAATGCAAGTTACACAACATACTTCACAGTTATCAAAAAGAGGAAAAATATTATTTTTATCTTCTAAAAATAATTACCTTATCTAGTTTTAATAAGGTAATTCCTACTTCCCTCCTTAAATAACTTGCTCCAATAGCTTAATACAAAAATTAGACTCAATGCAAACACAATCTTCTCCAGCAACAGACATTTCCAACTTTTGGCAGGGGTACATAAGCACACATGCAAATGTGTGTGCTCACATGTGAGTATGTGCGTGTGAGCTTGTCATTGCCCAGGGGTCATGGGAGAAAAGCAAGTGCCCTGAAAGCTAACTTGGAAGATAACAGGAACAATATGACAATCATGGGTCATCCAGAGTTCTCAAAACTAATGTCAAAAGATGATGAGGTGTGAAGTACATTCTATAAGCCATGAAAATCTAGAAGACAGTAAGAAAGAAAAGAGCTTTACCTTGAACTCAGCAGACAAATACATTTCTTCATATAGCATACTGGTCATTAAGTACCTCTGTGCTCTCCAATTCTATCGAGAGCTATTTAACCTCCTGCAATAGAAGTTACCATTGCCTTATCGAGCAAAAAACTAACAACCCACAACGGGCTTGTGTTAAGAAAATCAAGGAAACTGAAATTCAGAAAACTTTCTATCTTCTACTAAAACAATTTTTTGGAAATGAATTTAGTATAGTTTTAAAGCTGGATAGTCCAAATTCAAATACTGAACTATTTTTCTTCTTGTCAAATACTACTCTGGAAAGAGTACCACCAAACTCTAGTAAAAACTTACCCTTCAACTTGAGATCAACATTGTGTCTCAGCCAAGGATAAACCCCATAGCTTGGCATATCTTCAGGAATTGGGTTATTGTTTATCCAGCCATCACAAGCAAACCGGAAGAAATTTTCACAGGGATCCACAGAAAGATTTACTTTGCTCATGATGGCAGCAGCTATTTAAAAAGAAAATCATAGGATTAATGACAAGCACTGGATGCTGTGCAGTTCTTTTACAAATTAAACAAAAACTCTCATATCAACCAGTTTCCAAACCCCTGGCTTCAACATTTCTCCTCAAATGTCTCTCGGGATGAACTTCATCATATAAAAGGACTGTCTTCAAAGTGTACAGGAGGAAGTTGGGTAAAATTACTGGTCCTAGTTTTGTCAGACTGTCCCTAATACCTTTGGGGTATGGAACTAGAATATAGGTGGATCAATCGGTGGCCTTTCTTCCATTCTACAGATTCTCTCACAAGCTAAGCTGGCTATACTTCCTCTGGAACAGTAAAGTCCATTTGCCCAGTTTCAAGTGGATTCGCTGGACTCTGTCATTTTCTTGATCAACAGAAGTGGTAGGAATGGCTTCTTGTGATTTTCCAAGCTAAGTATCTAAGAAGCCGTGCACCCTCTCCACTGAATCCCTTCAAATGGAGCCTAGGGACCATCCTCTGAAGATAGCTTCCTGGAAAATAAGAAGCCATGGGAAGAAAATATAATTTCATACTCAAATCCTGGTTGCCCTCAACCTCATAGCCATTCTCCTGCCTCAGCCTCCCAACTCCTTGGATTACAGTATGAGGCTCTACATTTGGCTGCACCTATGAGCTTTAAAAAATATTACAAAATGAAAAAAAGAGTAGGTTCCAATATTCCTAATACTCATCTTTAACCATCTTCCAGCTGCAACACAATTGCTGGCTGCAAAGATGTGCACCAACTGATTTTTTAAAAGACTGCCAATATTTTAATGACATTGGAAGGATGACACTCTGAACAATTTTCATACCTTAATTAATGCCAGAATACATTTCTACTTGAAATAATGAAAATCCAATGAGTTTTCAGCTAAATAAGAATGAATCAATATCTCACCCCAGTACAATCTACATAAATTTAGAGATGTATGTTTTGGTTATGTGGGCAGTTCCTTTGGGTTAAAAAATAAGGTTAGATGTTTCTCTACTTATCCTTCTTATGAAAAAGGCAAACCACTGTTTGGAGTCATTGAAATGAATAGACAAACACCCTAGTTTTTTGTTTCATTTTTGTGTTTTTGGACAGGGTTTCACTATTTAATCCTAGCTGGCCTAGAACTTGATGTGGAAACCAGGCTAGCCTCTAACTCACCATGATTCTCCTGTCTCTACCTCCTCAGTGCTAGGATTATAGATATGACTCACCATGCCTAGAGCATAATTTCTATAGACTCCTAGTCCTCACCATTTTCAACCACTATCTTCAAAATAAACAAGTGGGAAAAAAAACTTGATTCAAAAGTATGATAAATTTCAAGTTAGTTTAACTTTTTTCTTTTTTCTTTTCAGAACTAATTTCATTGTCTAACTACACTTTTGCTTACTGCTACTATCTTATCATTACTCTTTAATATTCAAAAGTGCTAGAGCACACAAAAATCTTACTTCTGGCTTCTATCTGTAGTCATTCTGTGCAGCCACAGATGGAAGCTGCTATGTGACACCTCCGGGCCGTGGATCACACAAGTCTCAGTCCCACACACTATTTACAGTCACATGGGGAGCTCTCGCACGCACTTTGACTCACATAAGCTCACAGCTTTCTGGCTTCCTTCCCAAGGTCCCCCTGCCCCCAACTCTTAAATGCCTCTTCTCCATCTCCTTGGGTTTTCTCACAGGTACTGAGGGAAACTGCAAACTCAGCTCTGACCTCGGCCCTGATAGAAAAGTGAAAGAATACATCACTCACACTGACTTTGGAAAGCAGCCCGTGAAGCGAGAAAACTCTTCCTGCTGCCTTGCAATTCATCATTCACTATTCACAGTTAGGAGCAGGGCTGCCCTTTCTGTGGGGAACTGTGACTTCAAATTGCCAAGGGACCATAGTTGTCAAGACACCAAAACCCCATTCTTCTACTAGCTCCATGGAGAAAACTGAGAATCTTGTTTTAATAATATATATATATATATATATATATATATATATATATATGATTATGAGGGAAAGCTGTGAAAGCGCAAGCTGTCTCACTCTCAAGAGGTTAACTGTTGGTCAGGCTCCCACCGGTCTATATGGTACAGGTAGAAGCATCCCTCCATGTGTGCCCTCAGAGGTGGTAGCTTCAATTCGGGCTCAAAGAAGAGTTTTATAAATGCTTACATATTAATATTTCTGTGAAATAATCATATCACTCACATTAAACATTTCCTCTGCACCCGGAACTATACGCTAAGCCCTTCTTGAGCAGTAAAGCCTGTTCACAAACTCTAGAGTGAGGCTGCTTGGGTTGGAATGACAGCAACACTATGCAATAGCTAAATAATTGTCTTAGTTATGTTTCTATTGCTGTGGGAAAACACCATGACCAAAAGCAACTTTTGGAAGAAAGGGTTTATTTGCCTTAGAGGTCACACAGTCCATCATCAGAAAAAGCCGAGGCAGGAACTGAAGCAGAAACCACAGAGGAATGCTGCTCCCTGGCTTGTTCCTCAGGCTCTTGTTCAGCCATCTTTCTTAAACCTGCCCAAGGGTAGCACTGCACACAATGGGTCGGGACCCTCCCACATCAATCGTTAATCAAGAAAATGCTTCCACAGACTTACCTATAGGCCATCTGATGGAAGCACTTTCTCAAATGAGTTTGTATATACATAGATAACTAAACCCAGAACATATACATAAGCATTTTGGTAATATAATTCTATAAACACAGCAGGGCGGTGGTGGTGCCTGCCTTTAATCCCAGCACTCGAGAGGCAGAGCCAGGCAGATCTCTGTGAGTTCGAGGTCAGCCTGGTCTACAGAGGGAGATCCAGGACAGGCACCAAAACTACACAGAGAAACTCTGTCTTGAAAACAACAACAACAACAAAAAAAAAATCTATAAAGTCATCTAAAATGGATGCTAGATTTCCAGAGCTGGCAGATTTTCAAATTTTGCAAAAGAAATACAACATATATAGCCACAGGTGATATAACAGTTCAGCAATGGCTGGATTGGTACCACTGAAGCAAGCACATTAATATTCCTACAGAAAATAAGTGCATACTCTCATGAGTGGAAAAAAGTCTAAAATGGCTTCACATTAGTTACGTTTGCTCATAGAGCTAGTTTTGCCAAAGGAACTGAGATCGGGTTTGATGTTACAAATTGGGATTACATTGCTTTCAGAGACTGAAGGTTTTGATGCAAGGGTACTATTACAGTTTTGTTTTGTTTTGTTTTGTTTTTGATTTTCACAACTCACATGAAAGTTCAAAAATCTAGTCCCATTTCACAGGTAATGAGACCGCAGCTCAAGGTGATCATGTATTTAACCCAGATCATGTATCTAGACTGTGTACATTCCAAACCTAAGCCAGCCTATCTACACTTACTCATTAGCATTAGCAAACCATTGTTTTTCCATAGCCTTTCTATAGTTTTCATTGCCAAAGAGGAGTTAGTGTAAGAGATCAAGGAGACAAGAAAAGGTGGAAAGTTGTAGAGAGGAGGCATCTCAGAAACGACTGCCACTTGCTCAGAAAAGGGACAGAAGTGGGTCAGACATTTTCCTCCACAGGCCCTTCACCACTAGCGCCTGCGCCCTTTCCCACCCTCACACAAGCTCCTGCATAAAGCCAGGCTTGGCTTCAGTTCTCTTGGCATGTGTATTCAACAGCTATTCCACAGATCCCTGAGCATACTGAAGCTCATACTGCATTAAAGAGGGCTGAGACCTTGGTGCTTCCACTAAAGAAACAAAAAAATTAGTATTTTCCTAACATCAGGAAGCTGTTTACTAATGTGAAAATTAAAAACAGGACAGCGAGGCAAAACACATCACAAAACATCACTCTGTCCATTTTACTCTGGTGTTATTATGATTTGTAATAAAATTCATGAAGTAAGTAGCCTTCCATCCCTAAAGTTGTCTAAACTAAAATTCAACACTTATGGCTTGAATATTTTAATTTCTCACATCTGCAAGAACTCTCCCACAGCTAAAGTACCAAGTAACATGAAATGTGAAACCTGTCATCTGATTGTAGCACCTGGTCCCTCACCTTACTCCATTAAACACTCTCTCTACTTGCTAAGACTCCAGGCCAACTGCTCAAGTTAGGAACAGGAAAGGGCATGGGAAATGCACAACATTCCAAAGGGGAAAATCATCACCTTTCCAGGGACAATGCTAAGAAGCTGAAAGGGCTGTCTAGTCACTAGACCCTCAAGTCAATCTAGTGTCATGAAAAAAGAAAGCCCTTGCACAGAGTTATTTGGCTTGGCGCCAAGGGAAGGAAGGAGGGGAACCAGATATGGACTTTAAGCCTAGCTCTGCCCCTAACTCACGATGTGACCCTGAAAAAGTCTGCCTTGAGAAACCTACATTCTATCCTCTAGGGGCATCAACTTCATAGAGTTCTTATGAGATTTTAGAAAATGGCAAGTGTGAATCTTTTAGCACATTGCTTGGTTGAAAAAAAATTATTGGGCACTCAAGAATAGAGCAAAGAATGGACTTAATATAACAATCCTAGAGTGCTGCTGCAGCCCTGTGACCAGACTCTCATTAACAAAGCTCCAGCTTTACTCACTCAACCCACTCCTCCCCAATATGAGAGGAACGAGTCTCAGAACAACCATGAGTCCTTGCAAGGCTATTTACATAGACATCAAAATGGTTCCTTGATTTTGAGCCAACATGGTTTTTTACTACCATGTCAATACTAAGAAGCACAAACTGGTAGCATAAGACAGAGGTTGACCTTTGTGTGTGTGTGTGTGTGTGTGTGTGTGTGTGTGTGTGTGTGTGAGAGAGAGAGAGAGAGAGAGAGAGAGAGAGAGAGAGAGAGAGAGAGAGAGAGAGAGAGACTCATTATGTAGCTCTGGCTCTCCTGGAATTAGCTATATAGATCAGGCTGGCCTTGAACTCAGTGAACCACCTGTCTCTACCTCCTGAGTCCTGAGTTAAAGGTGTGCACCACCACAACCAGCAGTTTATGAATTCTTTCACCTAAGTCTTTCCCATCTCAATTAATGTCACTGCTTAACATCTAAGAATCACCCTAAATCCCTGCCTTTTTCTACAATATATTTCAACCCCATCACTACCACAATGCCTTCAGCAAGCCTCCCAGCTCCTAGATCTGCAATTTCCATCTCAAATTCAAGGCAACATCCTCTCTCACCTGGCCTGCTGGCTATAGCCTCCTTTCTGAATTTTTCCTTGCATTTCTCCCCAAAGTCAAGTTCTCTACAGAAAGACAGTTGTTCCTACTTTGAGATCATGCATCTCTGTGCTGGCCTTGAACTCACTAGGTAACTAACCCTGGCTGGCTTCATCTCCCAAGTACTAGGACCACGGGCATGTACCACCACAGCTGGCTGGCATGATCTTAAGTGCTCACGTTTTCTCATAAAACTTTCAAGAAACTCTAGAGCATATTATAGAAAAAGCCAAACCCATGGCATCTAGGTCATGTACAAATCCCTTCCACCTGCACTGTGCCCCTCACCCAGAAGTCTCTACCATTCTTCAAGCCCATCCCTCTATGTGACCTTCCCCCCGCCCCCGCCCCCGCAGGAAAGCCCTTGCCTCAGTCTTCACACCCCATTTCCCTTCTTTTAATTTCCCTTCTTTTAACTTAATTATTCAAGGTCCTTTTGAAGATCCTACACCCAGAACCTTCAATCTGGCCATCCTATCACGTATTAGCACATGAGTCTGTTTTGATATTTTAATTTTCTGTTCATTTTTGTGCACTGTGTGCCTTCTATGGATTTTGATTTTGGTTTTCATTTGTTTTGTTGTTGTTTTGAGACAGGGTCGCATGTAACCTACGCTGGCCTCCAACTTACTAAGTAGCCATGGGTGGCCTTGAACTCTTGATCCTCCTGCCTCTACATTCAAAATACTGGGATTACAGTCATGTATCACCATGTTCAATTAATGTGTGCTGAGGATTAAACTCAGAGCTTCATGAATGATAGGCAACTACTCTACCAATTGAGCTACATCCCCAGACCCCTTTGTGTGTGTGTGTGTGTGTGTGTGTGTGTGTGTGTGTGTGTGTGTGTGTGTTTATGTGTTTTACTTTTTTTCTCCCTCTACCTATTTTATATATAGGCCTAACCATATATAAACCAAAACCTAACTTTGTCCCTGGCATGAGTAACTATTTGGTAAATTCACTCATTAATCTCTTCTCCTCCAGTCAAGAGGAAAAGCCCGCATGTTTAACTGTCCTATGACTTCCTCTTTGGAAAATGCCCTAGGGTCCTGCCCCCTTGAAGAACTGGGGGTGGGAGTTGGAGGCAGGGATTTGGCTTCTTCATACTCATGGGGATGCAAGCAGGATTTACTAGCTGTGTCACAACCAAGGCAACTTTAAGCATGAATCTTTGCCTTGGTGTCCTCACTGATACATGGTCTTGTCACCTCCTTAGAAGTTCAACACGCATCGCCAAACAGATGAATCCAAGGGAATTCCAGCAGAAGCAGAGATTTGCACAGTGTCCCTGCTTAGAATCAAACAGGCCACGCCCACTAACCCAGAAGATACACAAAGTCTGCTTAAGACAAAGAGGAATCTGTCGAGGAGAGCCATAGGAGGCCCGTGGTCTCTGTGTGATTTAAGAGAGGGTGCCCTGCTTTGCAAGCCCTTTCCTGAGTTCCTTATCATGAGGGTTGAAATATTGTACAGCTCGGCTTTTGCAAAGAAAACAGGAAACCTAAGCTCCACTACTTCACACCAAACCTTAAAAGTAAACTCAAAAATGTCTTCAAAATTGCATTTTGTATTTGGTCAACCTCAAGCAAACAGAATACTAAAAATACTACCTGTTTTTTCTTCCACTCCCCAAGGTACCAAAATTATAACTTAACACAAGGTGGAAAACAGACTTACCGGCTTCTATGCACTCTGGCTTCAGGCAGTACTCCTGTTTAGCTTGGAAGCTTAGGAGACCTTGACTCACTAGAAAAACAGACCAAAATAAATGATTGACTTGTAGCAGACCACCATCGAGTAAAATGCATTTGGGTATATATGCAAGACATTTGCTATCCGTTCATGCTTCTCAGTATTGATTGACATGATAGTCAAAAATCAAGTTGGCTCAAAACCAAGGAAGCACTTTGATGAATATGTAAACAGCCTTGTTAGGACTCATGGTTGTTCTAAAATTCATTCCTGTCATATGAGGGAGGTGTGGGCTGAGTGGGTAAAACTGGAGCTGTGTTGAGGAGTCTGGTCACCAGGGCCACAGCAGCACCTAGAAGCTTGCTAGAGTGCACATTCTTACTCCAAATCCACTGGTACAGAAATTCTGAGGATGAAGCATAACCATCACGTGTGCTTTTGATTTGGTTGGCAGAGATTGAACCCAGAGCCTCTCACAAACTGAGCAGGCTGTGTTATGGATACACACACACACACACACACACACACACACACACACACACACACATTCCTGTACAATTGAAAGTTTTCACTAATGTTTAATTTTCCCAACTGGCAATAACCTATGAGGAATTTCCAGTCCTTTGATATGACAATGTCTTCTACAAAGTTCATGCTTGAGAGCCATGCAATGATGTCACAAAATAAAAGCATGTTTTTAATCTCATAATGTTTTAAGTAAGTTAAGATTTTGTGTTGGGCCATATTCATAGCTGTCTTTGGCTGCATACAGGATACAGGCACAGGCTGGACATGAGTGTTTTTGCAAAAGCACAGAAGAATGCACTGTTTTTGAACTCCAGGTAGGATCTGGACATTAGCAAATGTGAGCCTAAAATCGAAAACCTTTTGGAATAATGTGTTTTTCCTCCATAGCTGGAGAAGTTTTGAGGCATTCATTATGGCTGTGCTCTGTGAGCAAAAACAAGGAATCTTTGAAGATACGGCCATGAAGAAATGGACCATGGGGGCTGAGAAGTGCAATCAAGAAGCCTAAGAGTGCTTATGTCTCTGCTTGAGATGCAGCCCTGCAGATCACCTGCCTGTGTGGCATGTCTTATTCTTTATGAAGCCACATCCTAAGAGGGGCCTGCTTTGTCTTTGTTCTTTTCTCTGCTCCCATCCTCCAAACAGCCTTTTATCTGTGTTACATTATATATTCAAGAAACCTGCCTACAGAATCACTCGGGCCTATTTTCAAAAGAAGTTTTATAACCTAAAAGGAGTGTTTTGATTTTTTTGCAAGAAAAAAAAATAGGTAAAAATATATAAACACCATAAAGATCAGTCTGGGACATTCCAATGTACCTCCATGGTGGAACCATGGGGAGTTCTTCTTTCTACTCAATTTTTACGTATTTACCAAATATTCTTTAATGAGCAGGTTGTATTTTTATAATGGTAATATAAACTTTACTATATTTATTTTTTCGAGACAGGGTTTCTCCATGTAGTTTTGGTGCTTGTCCTGGAGCTCGCTCTGTAGGCCAGGCTGGCCTCGAACTCACAGAGATCCACCTGGCTCTGCCGAGTGCTGGGATTAAAGGTGTGTGCCACCACCGCCTGGTCCTGGATGATACCTTCTTCATGGTAGCTTATTTTTAAATCTTATGAAATGGCTAAAAGGTTAATGTTTCTCAAAACTTTGGAGGAAGAGGTAGAAAAATTGGAGATTCAAGGACAACCTTTGCTACTTTGCAACTGCCAAGCCAGCCTGAGCTACATGAGAAGCTGTCTCAAAGCCATCCAAAACTAGCCTTATTTTTTTCATTAAAAAGAAATAATTATTGACACAGACATGTAAGGAATTCAAAGTAATATCAGGTCTTTTTACCTTACAGTGTATATAAGGAAGGTTTTGAATAATTAGTTGGGACACAGACAGAGACCCTATGCCTCAAAAGAGAACATTATATCCACATGGATTAAAGTCCTGAAAACAGACAAGGATCAGTAAGCCCAAATAAAGAAAATGAATGAAACAGAAATGAATGAAATGGAAAATATTTTACTATAAAACAATGAAACATTACTTTTTACTGGTTAGAAGCTTGAAAAAAAAAGTCAAGCAGCATTTTAGCTTCTCAGTTTAGAATCCCCTGCTGCCCGGACGACTTCCCACAGCCCTCCTGTCTGAGGTGCTCTGCGTGCCCTCCACAGAAAACGCAGCCAGGGGACCTGGTTTGCACGTGGAGACATCCACAGCTCAAGAGTGTGAGAGTGAGGCCAGTAACATGGCTCAGTGATAGAATACTTACAATACATGCTCAATGTCCTGATTTCCACCCCCAACACAGAAAAACAAAACAGAAAGCATGAGAAAGACCACACAGCTGAGGTCATCATCACCCAAGTACCAACTGGAACCCACAAACCAGACTGAGGCCACTTCCTGCTGCTATTTCTGTGAAAGACCTTCATATTGTTGATAGATGGGGGAATCCAATGAAGGACCATATTTTATGATATATGAAAAGTACATGAAATTCAAGCTTCAGTATCCAGAAAGCATATCTTCCTGGCTCCCATTTGTGCACAATTTGTCTGTGGATGCTTTAGTGATACAATGAAACATAGTCCTGCAACAAGGAATGTATGGCAGTGGAGCCAAAAATATTTACTATCATCTGGTCTTGACAGGAAAAGCTTGCAGCGCACTGCATCTGAGAAACAGATTGCAGGGAGGAAGGAGAAGGGAAGAAGAAAAGAACACTTGAAAGAAATTGTTTGCGGGTCTATTGCTATACTCGATATTTTAAAGTCCCTGAGGTTCTCTGAAACCACCTCAAACCACTGGCAACCATTCTTTCTGTAGACGACAAAGCCAAAGGAGCGGTAAGGCAGGATTGCTAGACATATGACTGAACTAGGACAGGCAGAGCACATGTTGTGAAGTCAACAAGGAAGCACCTGCAAGGGAAGATCCTAACTAGAATGTTGTCATGAAGAACATTGTTTTGCAGGCATTTAGCAAGCAAGATGCAGAGTATGGGTGCCTGGGGAAAATAGTGAAGAAAGTGGGGGGGAGCATTGTACTGAAATAGTTAACAAAGATATAAAGGTTCCTAGGTGGGCATGGTGGTACTGGCTTATAATCCCAGCACTTGGGAGGTAGAGGCAGGAATATCACAGGAAGTTGTGATATTCACAGCATGATCTATATAGTAAATTCCAGACAAGACAGGGATACATAGTGAGAACCTGCTCATAAATACATACATACATACATACATACATACATACATACATATATACACACATATATATTCCTGAATGTGGACCCTCAGATAGATGCCCTCTGAAACAATGTTTCCCAAAGTTGCACATGCAAATGAATCCTCTGGTGTCTTGTGAAAATGCAGACTGTGAATCAGTAGAGGTGGAGCTCAAGCTCTCAAGTGATGCTGATGCTGCCGGTTAGAAGACCATACTGAATAGCAAAAGTAGAATGAAACCACGCCCTTAGCTGGTCCTATTTATTATCAATCATCATTAGACATTCTCTAAAACATTCAAAGTGAGGGCCAGGTTACTAGACATAGTAGGAAGTTATCTTTCCTAACCAGGCCTCCTCCATAATAGCAATGCTCGGTTTAGTAAAGTTTACTTTACCTAAAATCTTTAGTGCTTGTGTCAAAAAATCATTTTCTCAAAAGAAACAAAGATTTTCTATAACTGCCCATCTTCTAGAATGCTATGGTCTCCGAGTGTAATGATCATAAGAGTAGAATTGAAAAAAGTGAAAAAACGCTACTAACATCACTGAAAAGAGCACACATTTTGACTTACATGATGATCACTTGGATTTATAAGTCTGGGAGTATGTGTAAACCTAGCCCCTTAATCACTTCCCACGTCATGTGTAATTCCTTGGCATGCCCATAAAATTTCTCCTCCGGTTTTAAATTTCAGGAAGTTGATCGTCTAAAGCCAACTTTGGAGAAACCTCACAACAGTTTTTAAGAGCCACAAATTCAGTCACAAGAGGAGGAGGTCTAGCTTCACCAGAAAGCAATATACTGATCTAATTTCCTAAATCTTCAGTCATAGAGAACATGGAAAGGTGGTTTGCTCATTTTAGCAGGGTTCTCAACCCCACAAGCCTAACTCTTTTAAAAGTTAATTACTGGTTTTCTCTTGCCAAAATAAACATGGCCTCATGCATCCTGCATATGCCAAGAAATGTTTCCAGGCTTGCTGCATTTCAAAGTACACCTAGAATCTCTTAAGTATAGGGCTTGTTTCTAGGTGACCTTCAAGCCAATGAAATACTACGAGTTATATAAGAAAAAAAATACAAAGGAAAATAGTCATGGGTTTAGAAAGCTTATACTTTTGAGCATCCCCTGTCCCTTTCTAACAGATTTCATCCTTCTTCCCCCTAGGAATATGCTTTTGTCTACACATTCTGAGTACATCATTCTCACAGGAGTTATTAAAGTAATTGAATCACAATGCCTTTCAAAGCTTAAGAGGAAAACCTCTGCTTTCCTTCACATTCATTTTAAAATCTATTAGAAAGGTGGAGTTAACCAGTTTGCATCTATCAAAATCACTGGATTTAGAAAGACTCGAAGAATCCCATTTAAGGACTGATTTATCTTTTGTAAATTGCACTTTGTAACTTGTTCAAACAAACATGGACAGAAGTCAAACAAAAAGAAATTCCAGTATGGTTGTTCTCTCACAAAACAAATGCAAGTATCTAACTATGAATTCATAAACACTCAATTTGTGAAATATAAGACATGATTTTCGCCCCTCGATGCAATCCAATCCACCAGCCACTCCAAACCACTTTCTCATGCACTTTGCCTCGTGGACTATATATTTGGTACTAAAGAAAAGCCTCCTTTTTCATTGACATATCTGGCCGAAACTAACGGTGCATCTCTATTTTTTAACATAAGCAAACAGCCTGCATTATGACAAAGGTTTCTAGAATAAAGAATTAGAAAGTTTCTCCATAGATGCCCAGTTACCCTGGCCTCTGGAGTTCCACTTACCTAGAAAGAGCAGCGTGCCCAACACCAGGGTGCAACCAATGAACAGGGCCAGTGCAATTCGAATGCCTCGGTTGGTCCCCTTTCCAGTCTCCATGGTGCTGCTCCCTGTTTCTGCTTCCATCGGAAGGGCCGGAGGGAAGACTCAGAAAGAAAATCACTGTTCGTGGTTTGGTAGCTGGTCTCAAGAGTTTGTCAGGCGTTGACATCCAAGACTCTCCTGCTCGTCTGCTAATAGACAGCTTTAAAAATTCCTGTCAGGAAACTTCCCCCTCGACACCCTTTCTCAAATAATCTTTCACAAATGAAATAAAAGAAACTCAAAATATTGGTTGCCTTGGCTCTCCCTTGACTAGACAAAACAAACAGCAGTTGCTTTATCTTGGTGCTCTCTCTCAGCAAAGTCCCTCTCAAGCGATTGTTTGGCAGGCTTTTTTGCTCAAGCGTTCTGAGTATACATGTTTTACTAGGTTGCTGCACAGATGTTTTAGCTATTTAAATGTATAGTCACTTGGGGAGGGAAAAATTGTCTTTATCAAAACTGGATTCTCCACCTCCCCCTAACCATGATAAGTTAGGTGTCGAGGACAGTCTGCATCCAACTCAAGATCTCAATTAGTCACGTAATTCTGCCACGACAGTCATTCCCCTCGTCTGAACTGTCGTCCTCAAAAGTTACTCTTTCAGTGTGCTAGTCCCCTTTTAAAGCCTTCTAAGAGTTCCTAGGATATCCTGGAGCATTTTATTTTAGGAACTTTGTGTACGATAGCATGTGCCAAAAATCAGTCAAAGTCCACTGCAGTGCAAAGTAGCAATTAAGACAACCTACAGAGGCTCTTGGTTTGGACTAGCGCTTTTTTTTTTTTAAGGAAGAGAAAAAGTACTTTTTGTGGTGCTAAGAATTGTTCAAAAGACAGTTAAGTATATGAATTAAGCTTATTAGCAGCCACAAAAGATAAAGTAAAAGATTTTTTTTTCTCCTGTGTGTTTTGACGAGCACGGCACCCATGCATTTTGCTCTCTAGTTCCTCCCAGACAGCCACTGGTTAGTTAGAATGGTTTTGTGTTTCCATAAAGTGTTTATTTCAGCAGCTTCCCCAGAATGAATTCAAGACTTATTTGGTTCCACTAGAAAGATTGATTAATCACAGTCTTTGATCATGATCAAATTCAAATTATGAAAAGCTGCTTTCTTCACGGGGAAGGGCAATGGACATTTCAATATCATTTAAATGATTCGGATTTTATTACTTAATGGTACAGATATCACTAATTTGCAGCACAGTGAATTACTACTCACCCGTTCCTGTCCAGCCAGAGGTCATAAGATGGTGGAAGTGTAGGAGGAAGATTCAGTAACATCTGTAAACCAGAAAAACACAGTTTGTTCACATAGCTTTGGCAGTGACACAGAATTCAGCAGATATCAATGAAGGAGGTACTACATGACTGTATGTTCATGTGTCTATCTAGCTAGGCTTGGTCAGGCCTTAATCCCACAGCTTGGGATTCACCCAGGTCTAAAAATGTATTCCATAACACATGGTAACCTTACTTTCTGCTTGTTTCATGGCACCCCAAACTCAGGCAGGATTTGAGCAAGCTAACATCATAATGCTGGAGCCCTTCTGTACTCGTTGGCTGTCGACATTACTTCATTGCTGATGGATTTTCCCCAAGAATGTTTGTTCTTGGTTCCATAATACATCTGAGGAATGTGAGCTTTGTGAGATCAAGGACAGTGTCTGTGATTTTGAGTGTTATAGCCCCAGCAATAACAGTTCCTGGCCTAAAAGTGAAAGAGAAAAGAAAAGCGAGGAAAATGACTCACTGCTAGTTAAAAAGCAGCTTCAGGACCAGTCCCATCACTTCCTCATAAGGGGGCGGGGCTTCTGAATACTCCAGTGATAATGGTACTTAAGGTGGGCTGAGCCCTTTCTGTTTTAATCTCACAGCAAACAAATGCACCTGACAGCAAATTCATTTGTAACTCTAAGATGAAAGCACAGCCCCGGGTGGCACAGGACTAGACATGGAAAGATGGTGACATGGCATCACTGTGAGACACCTCATATCAGCAGCTGACAATGCTCCCTGTACACAGGGGAGAGAACAGTCACTCAAGGGTGACAAGAGAGATGCCTCTTTCTTTCTCCCCACAATCTCCTTGAACCTCAAGGGTCCTGACTGATCTGGAATGATGACTGTGGGTTGCCAGTTGGAGTAGCCTTGACCTGCCTTAGACTGGTGAATCCCCAGAAGTGAGAAAAATTTGGGAGTTGCCCCGAAGTTCCATGCATACATCATTTGCAGAACGGACTTCATTTTTGAACATTCAACATCTAAGTAAAAAAAAAAAAAAAAGTAAGCCAAAAAACTAAACACACTTTCAGTGATAGTAATAGAAAACTTGATGCTTTCTATTCCAAACTGAGACATGTGTAGAAAAGAATGCATTAATTCATGAAAATAAGTCTATGGAAGTAAAAACACAACTCTCAAGACGTTAAAAATAGTTTGCTGAATATAATGTAATGTAATGAAGATTCCTTTTACTCACCAAAGAAATTAAAGTAACATTTGAGAGTGGGTGGAATTGATAGAGGATATTGTGTGGGTGAATCATTCCTTATAAGGTACATTCTTCATTATGTGTTATTTTCCATATTAATTCGTCAGCCTTTTGGGAAATAGTGATTATCTTGCTCTGAAAATAGAGGACACTTAAAAACAAATTAGGGCAAAAAAACACCTTAGGCCAAAATAAATAAGTTCAAGGTACAGATGGATAAATGAGTACTCACAAAAGGCCAAAGAAGAGGGCTGGAAAAGGAAATACATATGAGCCTAATCTGGTCTATCCCCTGTTTTTATAAATAAAGTTTTGCTGGAACACTTATGACAGCATTCATGCTACAAGGTCAAAGTTCTATAGTTCTGTGACAGACATTTTTGTCTGTGAAGTTTAGAATGTTTTACTCTATGGCCCATTGCAGACAAAAATTGTTACCACTTCAAATGACATACAAGACACACCCTGACTTGCAACTCAAAATTGTTCCAATCTATGCTCTTGGAACAGAAACTGCTGTGTCCAAAAAAATTGACAAATGAATCTTTACCTGAAACTACAACATTAAGACTATAGAATATTATCCTGTGTGTTTGGAAATGAAGATTCATTATTCCCAGGGAAAGGAACTGTCCAAAAAGGTTACTCCTTCAGAGCTGTGAAAATGAGTTAACTGGCAAGCCACTCTACTGGGTAAATTTGTTGATGGTGTGATATACACCCACTTAATTATTTCAAATAAAAACATTCCAAGCCAGCTTGGGCCTTAAATGCGATCAATTAGTGAATCAAAAGAAGTTTCCCGAGACTTTCTCGGGTGCCTGGCCATGTGCAAAGACTTGTGAAAGAAAACCAAGAAGTCAAACTAGAAATTCAAGAATGGTCAACTGGACTTAGACATGGAAACACTTGAAACTTTTGGCAACTTCACCACAAAACCTCCCTAGAGCACACAGGCCTGGTGAGAATGGCAGTATCCAAAGAAGCAGAAATGTGAGCAAGATTTTTCAAGAAGACTTCCAAAAGCAGGACCCGCAAGAACTAGGAGCTTGACAGCATAAAGCAGTGGTCTTCAACGTTCCTAATGCTGCAACCCTTTACTACAGTTCCTGTTGTGCTGATTCCCAACCATGACATTATTTTCACTTCATAACTGTAATTTTGCTACTGTTAGGAATTTAAGTATTTTTGAAGATAGAAGTTTGTCAAAGGGGCTGCAACATACAGGTTGAGAACCACTGCCATAAAGGAAGGCTTATAGATGAGCTAAGGCCTTTCTTGAGGTGGGTACTTGAACATTTCCCACTTGCCCTAAACAGAATGCACACATGAGACTGTCTTAGCCAAGCATGATGGCAGCAGCCTATAATTCCAGTACTCAGGAAGTAGAAGCAAAAAAATCAGGCGTTTAAGGTCATTCTTGGCTACATAATGAGTTTGAGGCCAGCATGGGTGGGCTACATGAGACTGACTAAATAAATAAATAAATAAATAAATAAATAAATAAATAAATAAATAAATAAAATTTCTCCTGAGATGACTGAATCCAGGGAGCTGAGCCCAGTGGCCAAACTGGCTGGGTTTATGGCTCATGTCTCTTTGTGCTAAACAGGAGTGCATCTATCTGATGATGGTTTATATGTTCAGGAGTCTTCAGTTACAAGCTGTAAAATCTCTCATGAGCCATTAATTTCAGGGAGAAAGAAGGAAATGATTCAAATTCAGAACAATACTTTCATCCAGCCACTAGAAAGAGGAGGGTGTAGGGGAGAAAGAGAGAAGCTGGACAGGAGAGCTAATTAGTGAAAGTGGCATCTAGGGGCTTTGCTAAGACCTTGTTGTTTGTTGACTAGGAGCTTAGAGTAGCCGGATTCAAATTCCAGGCCTCCCACTAATGAAATACATTACTTACTTTATACTGCTCTCTTGGAACATCTTTCCTAGGTAGATATTCTTATCTTCTTCTTACAGATAAGGAAATGGAAGTGTAGAACTATTAAGTGATTTGCTGAAGGTCACAGGATCACATTTGTCTGAAGGCCAACATGGTTTCAAATTCCCAGTTCTTACTCTCTTCCCTATTGCCTGATAAGTCTGCTTATCAGGTAATTAGCAAAGGTAGGCACAGCATGTCAAAATGACACTTGAGCCGAGGAGAAGGGATAAACTATGCTCCCTTTCATTCGCTTGTTTACAAGACTAATTATCAGACTTTAGTCCCTTACCAGGGACAGCAGCCATCATTTAATGTGGAGGGGGGAAGGTTTTCAGCTGGAGAACATACAGAGCAGTTCAGGAAATGGCTCCTGCTGTGTTGCTGTTGCTAATTGAACATTAGGAAGGATAGATAAATCTGAACAGCTATTTATCCATGTGATGTACTTGGTCATGTTTGAGCCAATGGGGGGATTTTTATTCCTTGATTTTTTTGTTTTACATTTTAACCAGCTTATAAAGTATCAGGTATCCTTATGAATCTTCCTACATATTTCATGTTGGTTGATGGTATCCCTCCGACTCCCTCTTCTCCCCCATCTCCCTAACACTACCCCTGCTTAAACCTTTCCATCTCCAGTGTTATCCCATCCTCATTCATATCACAGGTCTTCTACTTGATTCCTTGATTTTCTTACCACATTAGTCATACAGCTGTGTCTTTCAAGTCTCATTCACTCTATGCATATTATATTTTCTGTTCTGCTGTATTCTCCAGGTGCTAAAGCTGGCTGCGGAAAAGTAAGGTCATATGATGGGTAAACGACAGAGCCTAATGGAGCCTCAACTCTATCTAATATGCACTTGGGGTTTCTCTTAATAGAGTATGGTTAGACAACAGAGAGACAGCCTTTGAAAGAAGTTTATTAGTTTCCATGTGAGGGGAGCAGCACACATAATGCTACAGAGATACGTGGGACTGGACCAGGTTAACTAGCTAGCACGCAGAAGAGGGGAGGGGAAACCATGAGCATCGGGGAGGTAAGGTAAGTGCCGACTGGGCTTCAGAGTGGGTGGTTTGAATAATTTCAGGAGGCTTCGGTCAACAGGAACAGTCTACAGTGCATTTGAGACCCAGTCCTTGGGTGACTGAGGACAGCAAAGCAGTGTACCCAACTGTGGTATCTTCAAAAAATGAGAAGCTAGAGATAGGAGTTTAGAATTCATTGGTTTGTCTATCAAAGGCCCAGACAAGTCTTTTATTATCTCTGGAAATTAGCTTACTGTGGAAGATATAACCCTTCTAGGGCTCTGGACCATCCCAATTTGTCAAGCATCATAAAATACAGAAACTTTTTTAAAAATATGATGGATGCAGAGCCCAACACATACCATTTCCAATGCATCTCACTACATAGTGCTTTTTTTAAAATGTAGTAACTTTTCATCCAATTAGCACTTATGTGCTGCATCCTCAGACTGAGCAAGCCCACCTTGTGTCCTCACTTACACCACTAACCTAAAGAAGATTGAAGATTTTTGCCTCTGTCTAATAAGAGCTAATCGTTCAAGGAGCACATACTCAGATGTTTATGAAAGCAAGACACTCTGAGGAATGGATGGCAAGTTGAAGAGAACTTGTTAAAACACACACCACTGGGCTCTAGCCTTGAGGTTTCTGATTAAGTCGGGATGGGTTGAAATTTGCATTTCTAACCACTTTCCAGTTGATGATGTTGCTGCTGGTCTTGAGACCACATTTTGAGAACCACTGGCTTAGAACAGCCATTAATCTCTTTACAGTGCAGTAAAATGGGCTGAAGAATCCACAAAACTAAACACAACTCTGGTGTAGTG